CAAAACACCTCTGCAAGTTTGCTTCTGCGCCTCTCTGCTGAAATACGGACACATCAAAGACACACGAGCCTCAGAGACGCTGACAATTTCACGGGTAATATGCCGGTATCAGCGGGATAATGACTTGAGTTATGATAGCAGACAATATCAGCTTCCAGGGGTTATTGCTTTTGTTGTGTTTCCCTCCTTGCATTACAGGAAGCTGCAGGAGGAAGCAAATGTTCCTAATATACAGCACAGCCTGCAGAGCTGCGATATTCTGCACAACTTGGTTCATAAACACAACAGAAAACATGAATATCTGAGGTATGTGCCGTTTAGAAAAGTCAGGTCTTACACGGCAAAGCAGGTGCTGCGGTGGGGAAAAAAAAGCCGACTGAGAAAGACGAAATATCGCACAAAGTGGTGGTAAGACGCATCCTTATGTCATTACAGCTTACACCTGTCAAATCTGCATTACAGCAAGATTAACGTGAATCTTTATATTTAAGCTTGAATCCTGCACTGGCCGAGGATAAAACGTGCACACAGGAAGAGCCGACTGCGAGTTGTGTAATTTAAGACGAGCTTAGATTGGGAATGAGGGGATATATACGGAGACCTGAATGAATGTTTGCGAGACTTTAGAGGTGTGGCGTTCAGAGAGGTCACAGGCTGTGGAGATCGACCGACAGGAGCTCAGGAACGGAGGAACAGTGCTCAAAGTCATGACTATCAGCTGACTCCTAAGCAAGAGCAGCTGTGGACAAGAAGACCTGCGCTACAGGGTACTGAAGATCAAGAGGTGAACAGAAGTAATCGATGCACAGACTAGGCAGGCGACTGCCCTGTGGCCCCACAGCCTCAGGGTCCCCAAAGGCTCCGGGCTCACTGTCTGACAATTATTACTAATGCTATCAAATACACCCAGCAAGAGGGAGAAACTGGTGGCCGGCCTCTGGCCTTTAACAGGGTTAAAGGAATACATGATAAGTTTTGGGAAATATGTTTATTTACTTTCTGCTGGAGAGTAAAAGACTGACACCACTCTGCTATCTTTCTGTTGAATAATAAGGCTACAGCCAGCATCTAGTTAGCTTATGTTAGCATAAAGGCGGGAAACAGCTAGCTTAGCATAGTTTGGTTTTGAATTTCAAATTTTCAAAAAGTGTGAGAATTACAATTAGCCAGATTCCCCAGAACTACTCCTCCGCGAATCGCCACCTTAACGTGGTGGAGGAGTTTGAGTGGCTCAGTGATCCTGGTAGCTATGTTGTCCGGGGCATTAGCCCCTGGTAGGGTCTCCCAAGGCAAACAGGTTTCAGGGGAGAGCCCAGACTAAGAGCGGTTCAAAACGACCCTTATGACAGTTAGCCCACGGACTTCAGCCACCTCGCCCGGACCAGGGAAACCGGGGCACCCTCCCGGAGCCAGACCCAGGAGGGGAGCTCGTAGGCGAGCGTCTGGTGGCCGGGCCTTCGCTCATGGGGCCCGGTCGGGCTCAGCCCGAAGAAACACCATGGAGCAGCCACCCTGTGGACTCACCACCCGCAGGGACAAGCATCGGGGTCGGGTGCAATGCAGACCGGGTGGCAGGTCGGGCGGGAGGCCCGGGCATGCCGATCGCCGGCAGTATAGACTAGCTCTAGGGATGTGGAACGTCACCTCGCTAGCGGGGAAAGAGCCGGAGCTGGTGCAGGAGGTGGAGCGATACCAGCTAGATATAGTTGGACTCACCCTGCACACACAGCGTTGGCTCTGGAACCAAGCTCCTGGAGAGGGGTTGGACTTTGTCCTTTTCCGGAGTTGCCCAGGGTGAGAGGCGCCGGGCGGGAGTGGGGATACTCATGAGCCCCTGGCTGAGCGCCGCTCTGTTGGACTTCTCCCCGGAGAACGAGAGGGTCGCCTCCATGCGCCTACTGGTTGCGGGGAGCAAGGCTCTGACTGTGGTTTGTGCTTATGCACCAAACAGCAGTTCGGAGTATCCGGCCTTCTTGGAGTCGGTGGGAGGGGTCCTGGAAAGGGTGCCGCCTACCGACTCCATAGTTCTCCTGGGGGACTTCAACGCTCACGTGGGCAATGACGGAGAAACCTGGCGGGGGGTGATTGGGAGGAATGGCTTGCCCGATCTGAACCCGAATGGTGTTTTGTTATTGGACTTCTGTGCGTGCCATGGTTTGGCCATAACGAACACTATGTTCGAACATAAGGTGGCTCATAAGTGTACCTGGTACCAGAACACCTTAGGCCGGAGATCAATGATCGACTTTGTAATCGTATCATTTGATTTGCGGCCGTATGTCTTGGACACTCGGGTGAAGAGAGGAGCGGAGCTGTCAACTGATCACCACCTGGTGGTGAGTTGGATCAGATGGCAGGGGAACCGTTTGGAAAGACCCGGCAAGCCCAAACGTGTAGTGAGGGTGAACTGGGAACGTCTGGCGGAGGACCCTGTCCGGGAGGTCTTTAACTCCCACCTCCGGAAGAACTTCTCACACATCCTGAGGGAGGTTGGGGACACGGAATCCGAATGGACCATGTTCAAAGCCTCTATTGTGGACGCGGCCGCTAGGAGCTGTGGCCGGAAGGTCATCGGTGCCTGTCGTGGGGGACATCGTCGGGCGGTGGAAAGAGCACTTTGAGGAACTCCTAAACCCAACCAACATGTCCTCTGCAGAGGAGGCAGCGCCTGAGGACCTAGGGGGAGGCTCACCCATATCCCTGGCAGAGGTCGCTGAGGTAGTTAAAAAGCTCCTTGGTGGCAAGGCGCCGGGGGTGGATGAGATCCGCCCTGAGATGCTGAAAGCGCTGGACATAGTTGGGCTGTCCTGGCTGACACGCCTCTTCAATGTCGCATGGGGGTCGGGATCAGTGCCCATGGAATGGCAGACCGGGGTGGTGGTTCCCATCTTCAAAAAGGGGGACCGGAGAGTGTGCTCGAATTACCGGGGTATCACACTACTCAGCCTCCCGGGGAAGGCTTATGCCAGGGTGCTGGAAAGGAGGCTCCGACCGTTTGTCGAACCTCGGATTCAAGAGGAGCAGTGCGGATTTCGTCCCGGCCGTGGAACAGTGGACCAGCTCTTTACCCTCGCAGTACTACTGGAGGGGTTCTGGGAGTTTGCCCAACCAGTCTACATGTGCTTTGCAGCCTCGGGGTGGAGAACGTCAGGTTTGGGGGTCTCGGGATCGCCTCTCTGCTGTTTGCAGATGATGTGGTCCTGTTAGCCTCCTCGGATCATGACCTCCAGCATTCACTGGGGCGGTTTGCAGCTGAGTGTGAAGCGGCGGGGATGAGTTAGCACCTCCAAATCTGAGGCCATGGTTCTCTGCCGGAAACTGGTGGATTGCTCCCTCCAGATGGGGACGGAGTGCCTACCTCAAGCGAAGGAGTTTAAGTATCTCGGGGTCTTGTTCACGAGTGAGGGTAAGATGGAGCGGGAGATCGACAGGGTGAGGCTGCAGCAGTAAAGCAGGCGCTGCACCGGACCGTCTTGGTGAAGAGGGAGCTAAGCCGGAAGGCAAAGCTCTCAATTTACCACTCGGTCTACGTTCCTACCCTCACCTATGGTCACGAACTCTGGGTCGTGACCGAAAGGACAAGGTCGCGGCTACAAGCGGCCGAAATGAGCTTCCTCCGTAGGGTGGCCGGGCTCAGCCTTAGAGATAGGGTAAGGAGCTCGGTCATCAGGAGGGAGCTTGGAGTCGAGCCGCTACTCCTTCGCGTCGAAAGGAGTCAGCTGCGGTGGTTCGGGCATCTAATTAGGATGCCTCCTGGACTCCTCCCACTGGAGGTTTTCCAGGCACGTCCGACTGGGAAGAGACCCCGGGGAAGACCCAGAACACGCTGGAGAGATTACATCTCCCAGCTGGCCTGGGAACGCCTCGGGATCCCCCAGAATGAGCTGGAACATGTTGCCGGTGAGAGGGAGGTCTGGGTCGGCCTGCTTGACCTGCTGCCACCGCGACCCGACCCCGGATAAGCGGAGGAAAATGGATGGATGGATCCCCAGAACTAGTGAGAAACACAACCCCCCAATGAATCTAGAAAGCGTCTTAAAATGTTTTTTTTTACATTTGTTTTCGCACATATTGAACGAATGAGATATACTGTTTAAATTAGTGAGCTTTAGAGGTGCTGGATGTTGTTTACACGGACAAAGCCAGGCTACTTGTTTCAACGGTTTCCGGTAATTGTGCTAAGCTAAGCTAACCCAACCCGCTGCGGCCTGGAATTTAATAAATGAAAGCTATTAGAGTGGTATCCATCTTCTCGTCTAATTCTGCCAGAAAGCTAATAAGTGAATTTGGTATCATGTGAAAGTGGCATTAAAAAAGACAAACTCAGGGGAAAGTGACCTGCTCTTTGGACATCACCAACAAGATAATGTGAAAGCTGCAGCCTCTGAACTCTTGTGCAAAATCGAGGCCTTTGGTTTTTTAGGACGGCATGTACAGACATCAAGATCAGATGCAATCACTTACAAAGATATTTTACACGATGCCTGTGAATAAGTAGAAAACACGAATCCTGCAGCTGTTTCAACTGCAGCTTTTAAATGACGTGCGCAGGAGGCTCATGAAATCAGTCAGGGAGAGGTGAAGTTTATACGACTGTATAAACAAACACCTGTGCTCATTTAGAGTGGATCCACCATGATTAAAAAAAATAAAAAAAGAAGGCTGCAACATGACTAGACTGGTGGCCTGAATCTGATCCAGTAGCAGATTCCAAATTGCCCTGGCACAAAATGTAGTCTGGGGGAAAAGGGAAGGGATGCCAGAGAACTCTACAATCACTGGGAGTCATGCAGGAGCCTGCTTCTTACATTTTGACTTGTTTTTGGATTAAGATCAACGTAGTTTATAACCCCCCCAGTAAAAATCAATGCGCATTTTAATTATAAGTTAGAGATTACAAAGCACAGAGCGAGAGAGCACTCTTAATGACCTGCAATAAAACTAACAATCACACAAACAAGCTCTTAAGCAAGCAACACACGTGACAAACTTGACACCTCGTATTGCACAGATTTTATTACAGACTGTTGTACCATTAATCATTCGGCCTATGACATTGTACAGTATATTCTCCATGTAGTGTATGAGATTTGAGGAATAGTGTACGTGTAATGGCAGTTGAAGGAAAACAAATACATTCGTAGTGCCGGTAGAAAAATCTGTAAAGTGACAAATAAACTTTTTTTTTTGGTTGTAATTTTCATTTCAATTCCCGTAACCTTAACATACATTAAAAATAAATCACACGCTAAATCCATCTCTAAATGCGACCCCAACTAAACAAAGATGACGCCTCATGGTTTCACACAATGACGCTCCTCTAAAATGCATCACGCTTATCACATTATCCATGGTAACATAATTAGGAATGCATGAGACGGTAATAAAGGGAAACGTTTAAACATTACATCTGTCAGATCGGGTCATATTGTAGTTACCCGACCTGGAATGTAATCGTACAGTATGCACCATCACATCGTGCCTGCATCGTCTACTATAGTATTCCTAGAGAGCCATTGGTCCAACATTTCTGTTAGAGAGAGAAACACAGACGACAAAACCCAAAACATGCCCCCCACTTTCTCAGTCAGAACTCCATTAACATGCTCACCAGTGACCTTAATGTGATATATGTTACGTGTTCTTCAGTGCGCTGATGAAGCATCTTGTCACTTTGTGGATGACAAATTGTGGCCTGTGTGTGTTTTTTTTTTTTTTACACCAATTGAAACCTGAGCAAAAACCTTAATGGAGCCTTGAGCTGGATAATTAGCTGCTGTGTACTGCATATGTAGAGTAATCGCAGCCTTCTATAAACATTAAACCATTTTTTTTTTGCTTTTCTAACTTTGGCATACCAAGTTTGGGCGTTGCCACTGTGGATGGCCTCTCCACTTTCTCTGGCATTGGAAAAAGTTCACAATGAAACAGATGGCTCGAGGTTATGCCGATTTAAAAAACAATATAAGAACTATAATGCACCTATAATGTGGAAAATCAAAAGGATTCAGGAAGCCCCCCCCAAAGCAAGAGAAACCTCCCTGAATGGTTGCAACAGGAACCGACTGAAAAAGGGGGAGTTTGTTCCAAAAACACCTCTACAGATTCTTCATATCACCCGTTAGTATGAGCTACAAATAAGGTTCTGTATATATAGTCTTTAAATGATTCATTACTTTCTATACATGCAAATGGAAGTCCCTCAGACTCTGATATATTCTCTTCTGAAAAGTCCCACGGAGAGTTCCCAGTAAAACAAGTCAGTGAGGGTTGTTGACGGGTTCGTATCAGACGGGTCCGTATCAGAGGGGTCCGTATCAGAGGGGTCCTGTAAACATATTAAAAACCTACAGGGCTGCCTGAGACTGTACCTCGTCTTCATGCTGGATCGTTAACCGCAGTCATACTAGAGCAACATGACTGTCACAGGAGCTGCACTGTAGCAGGTGGTAACTGAATAATGAATGTCCTCAATGGACAGATGCCAAAGTCAACAAAAGAAAAGACGCCATGAAATACCAGTGTTAGCGTTAACGGCACGATTAAATAAGAGTCCGCGTGTGGATGTGAGCCGGCGAGCACTGAAGCCGGTCTGAGCGGAGGCAGAGTGAAGAGGGCGACAGGTCGTCCCGTCGTGACCGCATTCCAAGACCGTTGTTTGGGGTGCGCCATTGTCTGGTGTGCTTTTGTTATTGCCATTCGAATGTGGGATGGGAGACGCAACAAAAAACAGGATGGAACAGCGAGTCCTGTGGGTCAATTCACAGAAAAGCGACAGGTCTTTGTTGTCAAGGAAACTTGGTATCCTTCAGACCCACCGGAGAGACTTTCGCTATCGGAGCAAAAGATCACATCGATAAAAAACACACACTAACAATCACACTGAATTTAACTCCAACACATCATCTCAACAAAAACCCCCCTCATAGACTTGAGTAGTAGAGGAAGTGAAAACCAATTGTCTCACAGGTTTGGTACAACCAGGTGTGGATCATTTGTTTTCCACTATTAAAGAAGAAACATAATTAGAATACAAATCTGATTTTAAACTAGCTAGGATGGTTCTGATTGATGATTTAGTGTCACAGTACACCTCCATCCACTCACAGAGTGAATTAACATGATGGCCTCTCAATATACCCTATATCTACACGCACCCACCCACCCACACACACACACACACACACACACACACACACACACAGTAGCACTTGGAAGATACTGTTCCAAAAGAATGTGCTATGTGCATACTGTCGTCACACTCCAAGCGCTGGGCAGAGTAAGTCCAGCTCCTTCTGTGCCTCTTCATCCTGAGGAGAAAAAACATTGTTCAAAATAAAATGAAAACAGAAAGGTGCCCTCAGTCCAGTGCAAAATCTCCACCAGGTGTGTCTGCAAGGACCACCGCCGCAACTGAACGAATACAACCCGCCACTGACCCTTCGCTAAGCCCCGCCCCACGCTGTCAGAGCTACAATGGACTGCATGAATATTATGTCGATTTCAGAGAGAAGCAGACAGAAGGGTCTACACACGGACACAGCAGTAAAAACAGGTTAGAAAGATGAAGATAGAAGTCTGCAGATCACCTGGTGATGGAGACAGAAGACAACAACGCTGTTCCTGTAAAGCCGTGTTTGTCTTTATTCACGGTTACAATCATTAAAGCAGCGTGTGTATACATTCAGTAGCTAGCGTAGCGTAGATGTGCTAACGCTGGTTAATAATAACAATAGCTGGCTACGCTATGATTGGCTGGTCTGCGATGGAAGGGCGTGGCTTAGTTAAGGGTCAATTGACCCCCCCTAGACTGCAAGTGCATCAGACAAACGTGTTTTTCACTCCCACATCTCACACAACTAATCTCTCATTTTAATCTATGATGCAGATGTCTGCACCTGCTCCGTGCGTCTCAGCTCCGTCCCATGGGCATAACCGGGAATTGACGTGTTTATTTAGGCTTAAAGTCTACTGAGCAAACAGTTTAAGCTGTTAATATGCTTTTATTAAGTTTTAATATGTTTTCATGAGAGAAAGTCTCCATTTTCATTCCCAATATGTGGTCAGTTTATCCAAATAACGGCCGTTTGTAAATGCGCTGCAACGTTTTCCGAGATGTGACAAAGCCGCTCACGGGGTGCTTTCATACCGGCCCTGCCGTCGCTTGAGCATACTTAAGTGTGAACAGTGAACTCAGCTGTGTGATCACTAGTGGCCCCTACCGGCAGGGAGCCGGTAAAGAGTAGTGAGTGAGGAGTCAGCAGTTAATCAATGGCCGTATATATCAAACAGGCAATAAAAAGGTACGTGGGCATTAGCCGTGGACGGACAGAGAGATGCGCACACTCTCACACACACACATGACCCATCTCATTATCTACTGGCGGAGATGATAATAAACTTGCAGATGGAATAACCGTGTGAGATGGCTATGAATGAAGTATTGCAATAGTAACAGCGATGAGGTCTACCTCTTTAGTCACAGTGTTCATTGAAGAAGCAGCTTCACACATCTTCCCCGCCTTGTCCCTCTGCCCCAGGTCTTTGTAGCACTGCCAGAGAACGGAAACACAAACTGTCAATGCATTGTTGAGTCTCAGCAGGATCCCCACAGAACAGTGCACAGACTAGTCCCAAAACACACAATGGCGATGGAGGTTTCTGGTACCGACCTTAGCTAGAAACACATAGTTGTTTTTGGAATATCCTGGCTGGATCTCCTCAACCTGAATTAAGAAAAAAAGTTTTTATTCAGTTTTGAAAGACAGTTAATCTCTGCATAATGCACACGCAGGCATGGTCAACTGTCCTAACTGTATCATTACACTCCCCTCGACTCACTCACTTGCCTCTCTCTCCCTCTCTCTCTCTCTCTCTCTCTCTCTCTCTCTCTCTCTCTCCCCTGCAGCCCAAACATCTCTCCCACAGTTAGTCATGTACAGATAACCACAGGTTAGATGCCGGGGACCCGTGTAACCTTGCAGGATGTATTTGTTAAAGCTCAACAGCCTCACCGGAGGCTGTGCTCCGAGTCACGGGCGGCATGTTGTAACAGGGACCACTTAAATCAAAATGATCGGTGAGATACGCAAGACATGAGGAAGAGGCACCAACAGGAATATTGGCCAGGAGCATTTCTCTACTAGATAAACATTTGAAATGTGGGAACACGGATTAAGCCGTTCTAAATAAGGACGGTTTGCTCGTTGAAAAGGTTAGAGTCAGTTCCCATTTTACTTGTTAACTGTATTAATATACCTGGCAATGGAAGCATTCCTAAAAGGCACAAGTTAGCTTTAAACAAAGTGCCCATCAGATCGTCAAACAGCATCTGAAAGCCCCAAAACTTTATGAAAACATCGGAATTGAGCAAGTACATCCGACAATTATTGTAACTGTCTGAAACCAAAAGTGTGTGGAGGTGAGAAAAGAGGCAGGTTTTAAACTCTCAAGTGCCTGCATTAAAGACACCATGATTACCTCTGAATGCGTTTCACCCTCTCTATGACGCCGGGCTTTCCACACCACGTTTTTAATGTGAGGTGAAACAGCTATAAACACTTTTCACAATGTGAAGGACACCTCGCAAAGACAGTGTGTGTATTTAAGCAGACTCATACCTTAAGGAGTCACACATATGTTAAATAAAAAGGAGAATGATTGCAGAGTGAATTTTCTAATGTACCTTTAGAAAATTCTTCAGTGCATCTTCGACCGTTGCACTCGGAGGCTCTCCAAATAACGTTGCAGCGACTTTCCTCTCAATCCACGACAACTGAGCCACCTGCAAAATAGTGAGAACACCTCAAAGTCAAAAGGCAACTCTGCACATTAGCTTATCGGTAACTTAACGGCAGGCTAAAAAGCAGTGCATCCCTGCCCTCTCTGGCTCCAATGCTGCCTGTGGCCGGGTGCGGTAAGTAGTGTGCTTTGCGTTTGTAACGACACCCAACGGGGACGTCACACTCGTACATCACTGAAGCAAGGCGGCAAGTGAAACAACTGGAGGTCAGGAAAAACAAGATATTCAGAGGATGTTAAATTACTCTTTAAGACATCACTAATGAGCTGTTGTCAATATGTGTGGCCATCGACTTAAAACACTTTTTAACTGATGCAATTACAAAAAAACTTCCAAAAAGGAATTCCCTCAGGTTCACTAAATAAAATCAACTACTTTTCAATTATATTCAAAGTTCTACAATCAAAATTTGTTGACATCTACGTTTAACATTTCAAAACTTAAAGAGAGTTTCTCATCAGATCTTCTTTGGGCGTATTACTATCTATTGCGATACAAATATATTGTGGAGATTTCTCCCTTTTGCCCATCAAACGTAGTTACATGTGTGAGCAGTGAAAGACACGCATAACTTTAACAGTTAAATGGAAACAAAGCTAATGGATTTTGTGGGTATTCGTTTCCATAAATCTCCAGGCCGGTTTGGTAACATATCATTTTTCTTCACTATTCCAGGCCGGAAGCACACACACACTTTCCCGTCTGCGACTTCTCCAGTGTTTCCATGACCACGGGTACTCTGTGCACGGATACTTTCCTCCTGACACTCTTCACAGAAGATGATAATGGCCAGGAGAAGTCTTCGTCAAACATGTAATGTTCCGCCGCGCACCATTCATCAGATCGACGTCTAATTGCAGGTGTAGCGTTGCTGTGGCATCGTCACGGGACTGAATACAAACAGTAGGTCATTGTTGAACACGAACGCACCGCAGACAGCCCGTAAAACTCAATCCCCGGAAACATCAGGTGTTACCGCTCCGCTTAAATTTGCACAGTCCCTCACTCCTCAGTGTAGGTGAGTGTTATATCATTTAAGTCTGAGCGATCGCTGCAACACCTTCCTTCCTTTTCAGGCAGTTAGTTTGACAACTTCAAATTCACATTTTCACAACGGTGATTGACGGACGAGACGTCATAGAAACAACTACCCACGCCGAAAAAACACGAGCTGAAAACGTCGCCCTGGTACAATCTGATTTAAAGCCAACAATGGCTGGTGTTAACCTCCCCGTCACGCTTTCTGCGAATATTGCAGGGGGGAAAAAAACAAACCTCAGGGAAACCTAAACAGAGGGAATGAATGAGGGGAAACCGTGGGAGGGTTAGCAAAAAGGGAGGGGGGGGGGGGGGGGGGAGTCCCGCAGACATGTCAGCCTCCATAAATTCACAGTTTGTGTATGTGCAGAGAGATGGGAGAGATATATGTGTTGCGCAGCGTTTCGGGAGGGGTCACATACAGCGTAGCACCAGCGGCCCAGCAGGTAGTAGGACATGGGGTCCTGCGGCTTCAGCTCGATGGCTTTATCCAGATGATCCTGGGAGGGGAAGGCACACAGACAGAGAGACAGAGGGGTGAAGATCTGCACTGTTGATTCATGACACGGCTGCTATTTCCACCGCCTTCTGTTCTGACCTGATCTGTCCTGCTTCACCAACCCACAAGTATTTCACAAACACCTCTCACACACGCGATCTCGCACAGCGACCACACACTCCTGGCTGTCACACACCCTCCCTCTTCCTCTTTCCATTCTCCCTCTCTCTCATTCTTTTTTTTTTTGTTGTTGTCATATCTTCCCTCTCCGGCGCTCCACGGCTCTTTATTTCACCTGTCAAGAGTTTACAGGTACACGGTGTTTTGGGGGAAGCCGCTGACAGAAGATAAAATGCTACGTGCCGTTGTTCCACACTCGGTCATGTCTTATGCAACCGAATGGCTGTGGGAGTGGCCATTCCCCTCTCCTCGGAGTACATTGGGAGAAGCAATGTTCAACACAGAAATGAGAAATGTACGCACAGAACAGTGCAAGAGTTTCACTAAGTAGTCACAACACGCTTCAGGGCCAGACACAAGATACGACTGGAGTACAGGCTGTTTCAAGACTTACCTTAAAGATGTATCCGTTCTTTATCTTGTTCTGCACTGTGTCGTATTCTGCCATAATTCCACACATGATGGCATACCTGAGGAGGGACAAGTATGTTGATCAGCTGTGTGTCAGGTGTGTACAGGTTATACTGCTCATTGTTTTTGTTTTTTACACATTTATTAAAAGAGAAAAATGAAGTTTGAACAGATTTTATGTCCCCAGATCCCAAAATGTGTCCTTCTGCAAGATGGCAATGACCACCATAATTGGCAGTAAAATATATTCTCTTTTTAAGAGCACAACTGACAAAATCAATACATTCACAAGTGTGAGACACAAAGACAAGAAGGCATTGGTAAACTTCAACCAAAGTGCTTGTTGGATGTTTGAACAGTGTCTGAAACCCCCCGCTTCTTTGCGACTTTGAGTGGACTTATTTCTGGACCTCTGGACCAAACTAATTTCTGCATGTGGGATAAAAGTTGATCTGAATCTGAAGAAAACGATGGCAGACATATCAACATTAAAAGCTCAAATACTCCCAGCTGGGTGTTTTTAGAAGAGAGTCTGGCGTTTTCAGCTGGAGAAAAACGCTTTGGTGGACAAAGAAACATTATTACTCTTAGTCGATACTGTGCCTGTTCGTTAATGGAAAACCTGAGATCCGACTGGAGCAATATAACATGAATTCAAAGAATTACAATGATCGCAACCAGCACAGTTTTGGGTTTTCCAGTCCGGACCGACTACAGTACAGAAGTCAGGTAGTCAAGTTTTTGCATTTAGTGGGGAGGGCTTTTCAGTCATGCCACCTTTTCTCTGGGTCACTAACAACCAGAAGGACTGGAAAAAAAACACCAACATTCAACCCTCTTTAGCGAGACTCCTCATTAGGGCAACATCAGCAGAGATAAGCCACTTCACCTTACTCCTTCACACACTAATTAATACGCTGATTTGGACCAGTGGGCAGGTGGAGGGCAAACAAAGAGCGATCTCAGCTTCGGGATCTGTAAGTCAGCATGACGCTGTGGGTTTGGAGAGGAGGAGAGCTGATCAAAGTCTTTTCACTGCGAGGCCGCTTTAATCCTGCTGGTTCTCTGTCAAACACCACCGAGCGACATGAATACCTTTTCATATGAAGGATCGGCGTGTACAAAGGTCATCCGACAGTGTCGTCTGACATGGCGGTGCTGATGGTAGTTGGAATCTGCAACTGTGCATGCGTGCACAGAGGTGTCTGACATCTGTGAATGGATTTTTTTTTTAACAGGGCATGATTTGGCGACGGGCTACTGTTCTCCGTTGTAGCTCTCACTATTTCTGTCTCGGTCTCTGGACTGTGATCAGCTCACAACAAAAAAATTTAAATTGTTCTACAAGATAGGTTGGTAATTACTAAATCAAGATAACGTTGGTACAATAATTCAAGTAAGACAAACCGGGGATTTGACTTCAGTTGACAAAGTTCCAACCACGGAAAAAGAACAAAGAACATAACTAGTAGTTGTAATTGGGGGGAAAACATTATGCAAACATTAATCTTTGTGCTAACCATCATCACTCTTATTTAATGTGGGTGGTGTGGAAAATGAACAGTGATAAGACAAGTACTAACCACATCACGTCTGAGTGCCCAGAATACTCTTTGCAAAAGGAAACACAAGCAGATGAATTAACCAAAAAAAGATTGGTTCATCTTCTTACTGCAGCGCAGGGTGCGGCCAGGCTGCCACCGGTTGGCGCTGCATGAGTGGAGAGCTCCGCAACATCACAGGAGCACAGATGCTATCTGTCTGCAGTTGTGCTGCCGAGCCTTCCAATGAAAACAGACTGCTGGATGTGAAGGCTTTGAGCAAATCCATCAACCGGTGACTCAATATCTGCCGCGATGGAAACGGAGCCAGGACGGCAGCTGGTTTGCGCCTGGCCTCCACATTTTAATACGATTTTTCAGAGAGAGTGGTTCCCCGAAGCCACGGCTGGATATCATTTTAAAAAGGTGAGAAAACCAAAGCAACAGCGGCTCAGAATTTGTTTGGGAGAAGTGTGAACAATTGGAGCTGGAGAATTGGATGAACATTTATCAGAAATACACTCAGGTAGGGGACCGTTTGCTTGATTAAACACGTTTTAGCCACGCTAGCTGTTAATAACTATTGGATGGATTGGCGCCGTCATCCGGACACACTTTCACCAATACTTTGGTTTATGGCCAAATACTCTCAATGTTTACAGCTTTTAGTATTTGTTTTACGGTGACTAACAAAGGGTAGCGTGCTAACATGCTAAACTAAGATGCTGAACATGGTAAACTTAACCCACACATGAGCCTTGCATAAACTTATTGTCTCGTTAATACTTGTAGTAATCCAGTAAATATAGATGAAATAATTAGTCGAATGAATGATTCGTCAATCAACAGAAAATCAATTTCAGAATTTTTGTTGACTGAACAAAACATGCAATGTGCACACGTCACTTAGGAATGTAGGACATTTTTTGGACACTGCTGATTAAGCTGCAAATGAAAAAGCTAATAAAAAAGAATCATTACTGACAGCCTTATGCAATATGCTGCTTTAATTATACGTAGATGAAAACAAATCCTAACATATCCTTCCTGATTAGTGAAAAAAGAAGCAGTCCTCGCTTCTCTTACTGTAACAGCACCCACAATGTTCTGTGAATCCAACTAGCCGATAATACAAGTCAATAATACACTATGGCGCTACGCTGATGTGAGTATATGCAATAAATCTTGCATCGTGCTATGAGATGAAGAGAGCGACCAGAGCAGCATACCAGAGGGGGACGGTAATCAGAACTGAGATCCAGCATCGCCCAGGTGAGGGCTGTGGGAGAGATTGCTCAACATCCAGGCTACCACAAGACATACAGTGGGTACGGAAAGTATTCAGACCCCTTTAAATTTTTCACTCTTTGTTTCATTGCAGCCATTTGCTAAAATCAAAAAAGTTAATTTTATTTCTCATTAATGTACACTCAGCACCCCATCTTGACAGAAAAAAAAACAGAAATGTAGAAACTTTTGCAAATTTATTAAAAAAGAAAAACTGAAATATCACATGGTCATAAGTATTCAGACCCTTTGCTGTGACACTCATATTTAACTCACATGCTGTCCATTTCTTCTGATCCTCCTTGAGATGGTTCTACTCCTTCGTTGGAGTCCAGCTGTGTTTAATTAAACTGATTGGACTTGATTAGGAAAGGCACACACCTGTCTATATAAGACCTTACAGCTCACAGTGCATGTCAGAGCAAATGAGAATCATGAGGTCGAAGGAACTGCCCAAGGAGCTCAGAGACAGAATTGTGGCAAGGCACAGATCTGGCCAAGGTTACAAAAGAATTTCTGCAGCACTCAAGGTTCCTAAGAGCACAGTGGCCTCCATAATCCTTAAATGGAAGAAGTTTGGGACGACCAGAACTCTTCCTAGACCTGGCTGTCCAGCCAAACTGAGCAATCGTGGAAGAAGAGCCTTGGTGAGAGAGGTAAAGAAGAACCCAAAGATCACTGTGGCTGAGCTCCAGAGATGCAGTAGGGAGATGGGAGAAAGTTCCACAAAGTCAACTATCACTGCAGCCCTCCACCAGTCGGGGCTTTATGGCAGAGTGGCCCGACGGAAGCCTCTCCTCAGTGCAAGACATATGAAAGCCCGCATAGAGTTTGCCAAAAAACACATGGAGGACTCCCAGACTATGAGAAATAAGATTCTCTGGTCTGATGAGACCAAGATTGAACTTTTTGGCGTTAATTCTAAGCGGTATGTGTGGAGAAAACCAGGCACTGCTCATCACCTGCCCAATACAATCCCAACAGTGAAACATGGTGGTGGCAGCATCATGCTATGGGGGTGTTTTTCAGCTGCAGGGACAGGACGACTGGTTGCAATTGAAGGAAAGATGAATGCGGCCGAGTACAGAGATATCCTGGAAGAAAACCTCTTCCAGAGTGCTCTGGACCTCAGACTGGGCCGAAGGTTCACCTTCCAACAAGACAATGACCCCAAGCACACAGCTAAAATAACAAAGGAGTGGCTTCGGAACAACTCTGTGACCATTCTTGACTGGCCCAGCCAGAGCCCTGACCTAAACCCAATTGAGCATCTCTGGAGAGACCTGAAAATGGCTGTCCACCAACGTTCACCATCCAACCTGACGGAACTGGAGAGGATCTGCAAGGAAGAATGGCAGAGGATCCCCAAATCCAGGTGTGAAAAACTTGTTGCATCATTCCCAAGAAGACTCATTTGATAATGTTGGCTCATCTCTGCACCTGGTTTTCCCCCTGTGGAGTTTTGCCTTTGTGATTGTTGTCAAAGTTACTCCTCGGCCCGCGCTTCTGTCTTCTATATGAATAATATCCCTAAATGCACCATGCGGGAGGTCGCTTTTGGTCTTACGCAACACCTATTGTCATTGTGTGAAACAGCACCAGGCCTTCAGGGCGAGAGAAGTGAGCGTATAAGGAGTGTGGAGGTTAGAGAGGCGTGCCTAGCCTCAGGGGCCGACCTGCTGTTGTTTATACTTTTCACAGAGGTAAAATACTATATCTCTACCCGTCCAGAAAAGGGAAATATCAAGATAAGGAGGAAAGGTGGGCGGCAGCAAAACATGACGGGTGGGGGGGTGAGAGGAGGACAGAACACTTAATTGCGCAAGGTTAGTCCATGTTTGTACCGCGGCTCATTGAAATCCCCGTCTCTACCGGGCGAAAACAAAAGGGCCTAAGTGTCAGCTGCTCGGGCGGAAACAGCAGATTGATTTCAGCCTTCAAGTTTTAGGTTTCCACGGCTACTGGGAGCACAACGCTAACACGGTGACACTAACGGTGGCCGCGGCAAACAGAGGCACGTGTTTCAAATTAAAGTAGTCTTTGTGGAGGTCAAAGTGACCCCTGTCCTTCCCCCGCCAACAGCCCCCCCCCCCCCTCCCCTCCCCCGGACTGGCACTGCCACAGGCTCCCTGCTTAATCCGCGGGCCTTTGTACCCTCAGAGAGGCCCTATAGCCAGGGATTTACATGGGCTGAATTCACACGGTGGGATCATTGGAAACGCACCTATAAACAAAGCCGGCGATACAAGAATGCAATCACATCGTCAGCCTGCCGAGATTATACAAATAGGCTTCACACTCACTGTCACGAAAGCACCCTATGTAACCCCACGCGAGCACACCGCACGCTCTCTTTTAGAAAGTGGTTTGTTAGGAAGCTCTACGGCCGACACGACGGCTACAGTTTACTGGATTTTGCCTTTTGAAGCATGAAAAATGAGGAGATGACAAGTTGAGGAGAGCCGTGGAGATGCTGATAGCGTGTCGCCCGTTGACTGCCTCGAAACACGTCCAACTTCAAGAGTCCTCGTCCACCTCTCCTGGGAAAGAGGCGCAGAGATTTGGTGCATGACAGATTGGGAAAGTATGCGTAATCTCTCGTGAAGTGATGACCGTCATACGGACGGACATCACGCTCGTTCATCACTTCAGCTCTTCAAATGGCCGGTGCACGGGCTGTTTTAGACTGCGTGAGGTTCGCAAATGTGCCGTGCGTGTGGCTGCACATCAGCATTGAGTTATTTAGGGTAATCCCTGGTTCTGTGATAACAGTCGGAGATCTTTCACCATCGACTTGGTGCTATACAAATAAAAACAAACTCACAGAATGAGCTTCTCAGTTGTTGTTTTTTGTAGTTCGATGGATAAAATGTTGTGAATGTGGACAGGGCACTGGATTTTTTTCTTTTTCAAAATTCTGATAACATATCAGTTGATATTGTTGTTTTCACATTGCAGCAAAATAAGAAACACTCAATAAGGATCCCTTACATTTGGTTACTTATATGCGTTACACCAGATTTATATATATATATATAATAAGCTGATATCGGCAAATAATATGAGGCAGCGATTTATCGGTTGGGCTCTAGTAGACATTATGCACAATAGGCTCCAGGAGTGTTTCAACTACTGTAAACACCTGACATCAATATCAGCCTCTATTCAGGGTTCCCACTCTTTTGTAGAGATCATTTGCAGTGACAATCTGGTGTAACAGACAGGGAATATGCCATACACTAATAAGTTCCTCTTTGTGGAAGCCTTTAACAATGCTAATTACACCCCCTGTGAGCTGCTGCTGCTACAAAGTAAAATATTTCATTTTGTGGTCTATTTTACCTCAATGGAACAGTGTGTAACATTTAGGGATTTAATTGGCAGAAATTGAATATAATTTGCATAACTATGTTTTCATTGGTGTATAATGACCTGAAACTAACAATCGTAATCGTAATGACATAATGAACACTAACACTAAAGTTGTTAACAACTTTGGTGAACTGGATGAAATTAACATATTACAACAATAATCGTGTTTGTTACAGTGCATCCAACGACGCTGCCCTTCTCTGTGACTTGCAGTACACAGCATGCTGTTCTACCACTTCATCACTATGTACATTCATTTCAGCTTTATCATAATATATATTTTGTTGCACCAATTATTTGCTAGTACTATATATTTTATCAGTGTGTTGCCTGCATATTTCAGTTGTGCCTGCATGTTTTTCTATGTGTGCGTGTAGTTTCACAGATTTAAAGAAGGCTGTTACAGAGATAAACCTTAAAAAAACATTTGTAGATTTTTCACATCCCAAAAAACACATTTGCAACACTTTAGTAAAAATGTAATCGGGGTAGATGGCAATGAACAGGTTTCAAAAAGCCGTCCATTCACGTGTGCTTTGAGAAGAAGACAATGCAAGTAGTTTCGGTGGCAGAGTGTCTCAACATCACAGTCTGCCAAATTGTGACAAGCTGGGCAGCATTCAGGAAAACGGGTGACAAGTTTTCTCACGGCATCGGCGCACTAAGTAAACAGTTACCTCAGACGTAAACTTCCTTGCAACACTGCCTGGCACCGTCCCCAGTCCTCTGCCTCCTCCCCTTCCCGGAGCGCGGCTTTACCTACTTTGCCCTGTCCGTTCAATTTAGACCGCGTTTCTGCTCGGTTTAAGACCCTTACAAATTCCATTAGTGGATATAGGATTAAGCATTAAGCTTTTTCAAAGCTGTTGCTCGTAATCAACTAAACAAACTCAGCCTGCTATTCCCCTTGACGTCTCGAGTGCTGCGGTATGTGCATGAGCTAATGCTAATTATTCCCTAACGAACAGAGCAAACAGGGCGGCTGGCTCGAGCGGGCGGTCTGGGCCGGTTTTCCACGGGAGAACTTCACACGCGTGTCTGAAGAAACCAACTGCATGATCTCCATTACACAGGGAATGTAATTAATGGTAACAAATACACACACTGGGGAAGCTATTACTGTTATATAAGCAATCAAACGCAGCACACTGTATGGACTTCCTGAATGCTCAGGGCTCGATGTTGAACACGAGTAAAGCAAAGCCGAGTAAAAGGGGCTTTGTATCGGTTCGTTACAGCTGCATTAGAAGTCTACGTTTGCAGTTGTTTTGATGCAAATTGATCGGAGCTGCATCTGGTGCAATCGTCATCTCTCTACTCCAGCCGTGAACTCCGTGTCTAATCAGCAGTCAAGTTTTGACATGAGCGGTGTTTCAGATGAGGAATGCACCACTGGGGCCTGCACAAATACAGACGGGATTCATGCCACCAGGCCCACTCTTCACAACTAATTAAAAAGCAGGGGGATTTTCTCCCGCTGCATCACAGAGCAGCTGGGCAGGTACACAAGGGTTCTCCCGATTTCTTTTGTCTGAGAATCACCTATGGCAGCAAAAATCCCCTCGACTTAATATCCACTCAAAGAGAAAGATTTCGCCATTTTTTTTAAATGTCCACTAGCATCAGCCAGATGCAGAAAATATGTCTTTTAAGTTATTTTTTATTTATTTCTGTGGGACCAGTCAGACATTGAACCACAGAAACAAGAAGACAGAACATGAAATGCAGACAAATGTAATGAGCTCGACACAAATACACAATATCTCGGCGCTAAACGATCAACAGCAAGACCCCCGGCACTAAATATGCACCGCTGTATATATGTACAGAAGACCATTCATGGCATCGTTCCAGTGTAACCGGCAGTCTATGTGACCAAAGTAAACCTAGGCCGTGTTTACATTCATCAAAATGATTATGGATGGAGGGGTGATCTGCAGGGAGGGTAAACTGCTTTTATCTCACAAACATGCAAGACTGCAAAGCGTGCAGCGATGCTCTGCTACGATTTCATTCTTTCATTTGACTACATATGCACTTTTCTTTGCATATTCCGGTCCGTGTTGGTTTGGTCCAAAAGTTAAACTGACACAATTCAAACTTGATTCACTCCGTCTCTTACCCCCCTCCGTGTGCTTTCTGCGACGTTCCTCTGGATTCATTCAAGTCAAATTCGCTAGAATTGCTCAAAGAAATGCGTGAGTGAACATCCACTCAAATACTGAGGAACGGCTGCTCGAGGCCCGACACGTCACTCAAAAGAACAGCGCCTCTCGTCTGGGGAAAGTACCCATGTCTACGCTTTCATTCTGTCTCATGGCGTTTTACTGAAACAGTTTAACTGGATTAGAATGCAACCATGGGCGATTCACAAAATGGGGCTCAATGACGGCAAGTCACATGCCATCAAAGTGTATCTTCAAGCAACCGTGACTGATTTGCTTTTGACATTTTGCAGTTTCAGCTTTTGAATGTGGAAAGGAAGGAAACGAGGCAAACCTACCACTGATGGCTTTCAGCACACGTAGGGTTCAGGCTCACCGCCTCCTCGCCGACCTTCTTCCCTAAGAGCAAAAGGAAAGACGGACAATAGATAATGATGCTCCACTGGAACACAAACTCAACACACTCAATTCACCAAGGACGTTCTCACACAACAAAACGAGAGAGCGTGGATTAGTAAAGACGAACAACAGGTTATTCATAGGTAATGAAACATCACAGGGCACGACGTTAAAGAATACAAATCCAAGGTAAATCCTTCATCCCTCAGTGGAAAGCGTCTCATTCCAGCTGCACTAATAATATCAGAATGAATGTCAAAGATGATGCCCTGTTGCTTTAAATAGCCCCATCAAGAAACAATGTCAAATGCATTGACACGGTTGTCTTTTCGGCAAGCACCTGGCCAGCTCTGATTAGAGGCACATTGATGAGGAAGGATTACAGAGAAACAGGTCAGTCCAGTCTGAAGTTCAGTAGAATCACAAAACAGCCTCTGTTTGAGATAGTAGAAGAAAAAGCCTTATGGAGTACGTTACAGAGCACGGGAAGTCCTTGTGAACTGCTTTAAAAGAGCCTGTGGGAGATCAGAGAGAAAAATGTTGACTTTAAGACTGTACGGTGTCCTCTTTGTCGAGTGCATAGTCTATTTACAGTGTGTGGAATATACACTTTGTAAAGCAATTTCCTGCTGATGGGTCTGGGTGGATTGGATGTCACATTGTTTGAGATGGCTCTAACAAAAACTTCAGTCCATGCAGGACTTTACTTGATCCATCTTTAACCATGTAAGATGAATGTTTGGTAAATTGTAGTGGTAAAATCTGAATAGAGAATTAAAAAAAAAACAAACAAAAAAAAAAAGTCCTTGTTGACTTGTGTGTATGTGCGTGCATGCGTAAGTATGTATGCATGCACGCATTGTATAAGTGTATGGATTTAGATCTTGACAGGTCGCTGCCGCTACCAGGCAAAAAAGGCAAGATGGCAACGGCCAAATTGCCGAACTTGAGGCTTCAAAACTGCAGCCCACAAACCAATGGGTGACACCACGATGACTACGTCCACTTCTTATAAACAGCCTATAGTCTGTCTCTGTGTGCTGCATTCATGTTATGTTATGATATTATGTTATCTATGTTGTATTATTTTAAAACTGTATGTGTGTATATGTTCTTTTCTGTCAACATGAACTGAGATTGTGGTTCTAAACTTCTGACACTTTCAGATCGTTGATGCGGCCTGCTGAAGCTCTACAGTGGAACATTGTTTTAACGATTTCACTGTGTTTCTCTATTAATCTGGAACAGCCCAAAACCAGTGTAAAGAGGCCTTTAAAATGGCCAATCTTCAATTAATGCACAGTGCTCTTTCCACCACAACAGCCAGAGATTCCACTTAATTAAAAGGACATAAATTGGATAAATAAACATGACGTGGTTTTTCTGGTGGAAAGCGTGCTGTACTGTTCACCAATCTAGGATTTGACCCTTAACTTTACTACAAATGTCAGTGTTGAGAACCAATAATCAGAGGGAACAATGTGACGGTTAACACAGGTGTTCATTTAGCGTGAACGAGTAGGGAATATTATGTAATACAATCCGACTAGTATGACATATTAGCACCAATGTGTGCTAATGAGTGCTTTCCTACTAACATGGATGTTAATCCTATCTGGTCCATGTTCATTGTAAATTGCCAAACATCGTTTTTCTGATGAGTCATTGTGGGTCAACAACTCAAACTAAAGTAACTGAAGCCACTGCAGGAATACAGACTTGCATGATACTGACATTTGGGGTTTGGTCAGAACAACAGCTGCGGTCATGACGCTATAGCATCTCACATCCAGAGTGGGGTGCGTGGCAAATGAGGTACAACACAACCAAGGTTTACTAGATTACCAGTTTCCGCATGGGTCTTCTTCTCCTCCAGAGTGCAGCTGACGTCGTGAACATCACAGTAAGCCCGGATTAGCCGCCAAAGAAAGGTTGAGTTCTGTCCGAACTACAGAAGTATATCGAAGTGTTAGGACACAATGTTCCGTATTGGCTGAGCTACAGGATCACATGTGTCAATCGAATGTACGCAGGAGTCAACATACCTCCTCTCTCTGCTCCAGAAGGAGGGCGAGAATTTCCCTTTTGTCCGATTCGGTGGCCTGACGCATGCCGTCGATCCTCTCGAGGAGGACACACAGCCTGTCTGCAGGTTGTTCTTCCTCCCCCTGCTCCGCATCGCTTAGCTCTTCTTCCTCGGAGTCCGTCAGCGCGGTCATATACCTGAAAGCACAAACAATCACAGAGACGTGTACCTTCAGTTTGCTGTCAGCGTGTGCAACTCAACTTTACTGAGGTGGAATTGAAAGGCGAACTAAACAGTGGTTCCAGACACCAGGCCAGACCGTCTCTGTCCTGCAAGATCAGCAAGACATGCCTCAGGAAGCGTCAATAAAAAAATCGAAATGTTAGATGTTTGGCTTGAGCTACCTGTGTCCTGGACCGGGACTCCCGGTAGCTCAATCCAAAGCCATGTTCAACTTGTGAGGTGGAATGAAAACACCTCGGCTGAAGAGCTTTTTCATATCAATAAAAAAATCTTAACGAGCATTTTTTTTTTTTTTTACAAGCCGTTTTCTGCCAGGTGCTGATGTATAAAAGGATCAATCTTCGCTGCCTGTATACACACAAACGGCGGGCGGGTTTGTTTACATAAGTGGGTCACTTAATAGTTTATAATTTCTAGCTGTTAAGAAACTCTTGACGTCTTAACGTGGATACCTAAAGGCTTTTTCACAAAAAAAAAACCTAAAAACCAAAACACAGGGAGACTTGTTTGTCGGGGTGAGGCATGCAACACTTGCATTAGACGTTTTATGGTGCCTTTTCAACTCCTGTAAGCGTGTACAAACACCCTGAGCCAACACTTAAGAAGCAGCAGTATAAAGAGCTATATTAAAAAGGTACAGGGAAAAATGAAAGACAAAATATGAAAAGCCTCTATTAAGTGTTGGCAGCGGCCGCATGTGCGTCATTGGTGGTTAAGGGAAGTATTTTGGGCTGCGAGCCATGGTTCTGGAGGGATGTGTCAGAGCGGCCACAGACAGAACCAACAGGTGCCCCGAGGCCGCTTCCTGGCTCCGCCCCCACAACTCACACCTTCAAACCCGAGTGCCGCGATTACAGTAGTAATGTGAGGGCATTTGAGCTGAAGAGATTATTTTCTTCTCAGTCGAGCAAGGAGCTGTCAAGAACAACGCGCCACGTCCGACAAAGTCAACAACACAGATGAGGCCGCAACGGTACGCTGAGACCAAAGAATCCCGTCCTGTTTTACAGTGATAATATGTCAGGGTTGTGTTGTTTGAATAGAAATAAATTGGTTTTAAAGCTTATATGTTAAATAGTCTTATATAAACAATGGATCAAATGACTTGTTCCCTCTGCCCCCAAGAGGCCAAAACATTAGTTAATGCCATAGACTGTATATAAGAAGTGGGCGTAGTCATCGTGCCGTTTTGAGTATATCTTGGAATACACGCGGCGCCATCTTGGCTTTTTTGGCAACCGATGAACGGACGTTACCGTATTTGGAATGCGGAGGAGTGGCGTAGAGACATCATTTTAGTAAATGAACATCACGCTGTATTGAAGAAGACGGAAGGAGTCGCCACCTGCTGGCCAGTAGAGAGAACGCACGTTTTAAGACACTTCCGCATCGGCTTCCCTCGGCAGAAACCGGAGGTTGCCGCCTGGTTTAAAGTGAGCCTATTTAACTTTCGCTGAACAGCACTGTGGTCACAAGTGATCACTACAAGACGATGGCTAAAGATACAACGTAGCGTAACAGCAGCACAAGTTGCCTCACGGTTGTGTACCTCCGGCCAACCAGTCAAGTTGCAGTTTACATCCACGTCTGTCCAAAACATCATCACTTCCTCACTGTGTAAAACTGTCATATTTAGCAGACGACTTCTTGAGTTATGGCCAAATTGTACAACGATTGTACTTCACATCCAGAAACTAGACTTTACAGTGTCTTCACTTTAATCTCTGTTTGTGTTTATACCGTCATTTTGAAATAGTGTGCCAAAACCGTTCTACAATCCCCGTCTCTGCACTAACCCCTGAGTAAACCCTAAAAACCTGCAGGCAAGGCTCAAACCATTTATTGGCCAACACACCCAAGCTTAAAAAAAAAAAAAATCTGAATGTGTGTGCTTTCGTGTTTACTCCGACTGTTGCAGTCTTCCTGTTTCGTCTGCCCGCACCGTATCATAGAGCACTGCCTTGCAACAGACAGGCCTGGTGTTTATCTGCAGCGAGGTAAGTCACATTATTGGACTTGTGTCATTCATTCATTCATTTCCTAATTCATTCATTTCCTAATTCATTCATCCTTTTGTCCTTGTATTCATTCAGCAGTTTGGTTTGCCAGCCTCCCCGCAGTTATTTACTCAGTGGAGCTGGAGAGACAGGCAGCTGAGTGTTCAGCGCATTCCTGTCACGCCATTCCACGGCGCATGAATCACTTGAGTTGAAAGAAAAATAAGCTAAGGATCTATTTGCATTACTGTGTGTGTGCTGATGTAGTCTGTATATGTTTGTGCAGGAAACATTATTGCCTTTGCAATGTTACCAGCAGTCTAAATATTGTCATTAGCATTTCAACACCGACTAAGTACATCATGTCCCAGCAGGCCTTTCTGTGACACGCACGTGAAAAGAAATATCATTTTATACAGATTCAGTTTGGAAGGGCAGAAATAAACTGTTGTGCAAAAAACAATATGATATATTGACGATAGAAAGAACTGCAACATTTGGTTTTGTATTCAGCTACCCATGCTGTGTACCTCGGGGAGGTCGGCCCCTCAGCATACAGACCCAAAGGGGCACTGACGGGATCTCTCACTGGAGCTTAGCGAAGGCAGTCTCCGCGGTTACGCAGTTCAAAACAAACCAGAGTTACCATCCCAACGTCGCCGGGCCTCGGAACACGCAGCGCAGCTTATTGAGCCTGTGTAGCACCGGTGACAGGACCAATGAACGCCTGCTCTGCAAAGCGGGCTGACTGACTGGAGAGAGCCCCCCCACAGACTTTTCAGTTGTTACCCTCCTAAATCATCACTGACCAAGCTGAGAGCATCACTGGGTTTCTAACTATGCCCTCCTCTGTTGTGGCAAGTGGGGGAAAAAAAAACAAAACCTCATTCATTTGTCACAGACACATGATGACGATGCAAAAATTGAGTGTAGTGATTATTCTCGCGTGTTCATGCCATGACGTTGGTTCAATTCTAAAGGGTGACCTAAATAGCACTTCTGTTTGGATGTTGCAACACATGGTTCCTAAAATAGCAAGAGGAAGAAACAAATTCTACACATGACATCTATTGCACTTCTGTCCATCCTGGGAGAGGGATCCCTCCTCTGTTGCTCTCCCTAAGGTTTCTTCCTCTTTCTCCCCGTTAAAGGGTTTTTTTGGGGGAGTTTTTCCTGTTCCGATGTGAGGGTCCCGGGACAAGGGGATGTCAAATGTGTACATATTGTAAAGCCCTCTGAGGCAAATTTGTAATTTGTGATTTTGGGCTATACAAAAATAAATTGAATTGAATTGAATTGAAATGTTTATACGTAACCGTATACAAATGACAATTGGCTTGTCACTTCGCCAAAAGGCAAACGGGCAAGAAATAGATCTGAACTGGAGGCGGGATGACACCTAGTCCTGAATGAACCTCATAAGTAAGAAACAAAAATGGAAAATGAAAGAAAAAGAGACTTGCTTGATGAGGGTGACCTAAAGAAAAGTCCTCTAATAATGGCAATAATATATATTATAATAATAATAGAAAAAAAATAATAATGAAGTTGAGGGCAAGAAAACCAAAATGACTAGAAAGGTCCACGCACTGCAGTATCTGCAACGACCACTGTTCTAATGTTTGATTATATGAATACAAACCACAAATGTCAGCCATGTTTTTCATTTATCTCTTGCTCATCTCACGCAATAGATACACTCTCATTCAAATCTATGCAGCCGCCTGCTGCGGTTTCTACCAGCTGGTTAGGAGGAGTGCAGAGTCAGCAGTCTATGATGCTACGAAACAGTCAATAAAATTAGATTTTTCAAAAAGTGTGAATCACCGCAACCACGAGAGGTCCTTGAGCATTCAGCCATGAATGATCCCAAAAATAAATAAATAAATAAACTGATGGGTCCAGTAGTATGCGAGATTAGCCGTGGACAGACAGATGCACACACACACACACACGACCGAACACATAATCTCCACCCAGGCTCACAGCTGGAGATAATGAGCTAACAGATGCTAAAACCCTCTGAAAGGAACTGCAGACTCACTTAGACTGATGGATATTCAGGGAGCAACATTTAATTGTTCACAAAAATGTACAAAAAGGAGCCTTTTGCAGTCGAGGTTGTGGGATCACAGAAAAGCCAGCGTTGGCCATTAAAGTGCGGTATCTTCGTCACACTTTCTATCTATTTGTACACAAATCACACACTGTGTGGGTGGTCAGAGTGAGACTCGACAGAGACAGGTCAGAGACAGGCCAGCTGGACAGGTGACACGTCAGACAGCTTAACGTGTGCACGTCATATACATTGTGTGCAATTCAAAATAAGTGTTTGTTTGGCTAAAAGCCTTTTATTGAAGCATGAACCCGAGGATCTAGACGTGAATGTCTCGGATGCGGACAGCTGCGGAGCGGCACGTACCATCGCGTTCACATTGAAGTTCGACTAAAGCTTTTAATCACAAATCAGACAATGAGCTCCCTTTTCTCTTTCTAAACATTTCTGCGCGAGTTGATCAGGCTTGCCCGTCACTAAACAAAACTCCTGCTCAGATCTGCTTAGATCAACAACCATCCACCGTTATAAATGCTATTTCTTTTTTTTTTGGGAAAAGGAAGAAAAATAAGTGGTAATGTCCTTGAGCTGCAGCGACATGATGTGAATAACCTCAGTGGGAACTGTTCAAGAAATTACAAGTTCCTACAAGACGCTTTTCGACGAGGCCTCTGACAGCTTGGCACACCGACGGGGTGATGGATGGGTCTCCTCTCTGAGGAAGCCGCCGTGACACATGAGGAGTGAACCGAATAAACAGCTGGAACTTTTCAACCCCTTCGTTCGGCGTGTTTCCCCGTTTTGCTCTGTAATTTGGACATTATGTCACACTAATTGTTCCGAGCATTACGCAGACAAAGGCTGGAGCTGCGGCGCTTTATCACACGATTTGGTAATGCCGGTCACACTTTAAACGCATCTCTGCAAACACACGGGACAGCTGATTTATAAAAAAATAATATTTCAACACAAATGTCAGAAAACCATTAAGCTTATAAAAGCAATCATCTCCAGGAGAGAATAAACACAAGCCTTCGCCTATTCATGACGTGGATTTGCTGAAGGCCCTGTTCATACTTGCACCAATGCCCCCTGTTGGATATCAGACACGTTTTACTCCAATTATTATTAGAGACAATAATATTTATAATTATTAGAACTGACCGGCATACAGCTCAAGTTTTTGAGGCGGCAATGTGTTCAACCGAGATGTTTGCAGACTCAACATTTTGCACCGATCGATTAATGCGCTAATCTTGAAAGTATTCTTCAGGCTTTAGATTTCAACAAACATGCAATAACTATGACACAACCCTTAGCATCCCTGCTCTTATGGGGATATTGTGTGGAGATGCTGTACTCCAAAGACTTCCAAGCCGGCGGGGGGGGGGTCACGCACGCTCTGCTCGTACAAATAACAGAGCGGCAGGACAGGCTCTTCAATTACGGGAGCAGTGTGCGTGATGTGATTTCTTTCAAGGCGGAATAACCCCGGCTGTAATTAAAGAGCATTTGATGTGGCCGACGGCTGTCACTCAAAACCTGCGAACCACATCTGCTGGAGGGCAGTCTTTACACTTCCACCTGCTCCCCCAGCCAATGAGGAGGGCGATGGTAACACAAGTAGAGGTAGGCTGACCTGAAGTGTTTAATCCGTTATGAAAGGAGACTCATACGATACAGTGTTATTACCCACGTATGAGCCGTCTCACTTCCTATGTCTACAAACGTACGGACCAGCAATGCTTTTAGGGCGTTATTAGTCCTTTTCATGCCGTTTTTTGGGCGCTACGTCACACACTTTGCTGAGAAAATAGTGCCAAAAAAGTTTGCAGATCATCTTTTTCAAACGATATATGTTTATGGACGTGTGTATCTGTTTTTTGTTCTTTTTACAAGCACTGTAGAGACAATCTTAGATGACACAGACGGTAAAACACAACACTCATTAATGATCCCGGGTGCACTGGATGTTCGGTTGGCCTGACTTTATGTTGTTATAGTTGTAAAGAAAAAAAAACAGCGCTCCAAGGTAATTGATTAATCATTGCGAGGACAGTAACGGTGATGGGGAGGAGCCTCACAGGTCTAGATCTGAGGCTCACTGTGCACACCTAAAATCTGTGTGGTTAGGGTGTAAAAGCAGCCGAGTGTCAGAACGTCTTCTTGGCACTTCACATGCCGTGCTTCCTACACTGACGCAGCAAAGGTCAAATCAAGTTGAGTACTCGAATGACGGTCCAACCAAATCCTGGTCCCGCCACATCCAAACAACCCGATGTATTCAGTCGTGTCCAATAAAAACTGAAGTCCGTCTGACTGCCCGAAAATGTTAAAGCACAGGCGTAATCACCGTCATGTAACTGTTGGTGTTTATATGAGATCATGAGATTCAAACGAAACACATCTGTTGTTTATGTTATCTGTGGATGGCACAAGTTCAAGGCATTTGGGCGTGGATGGAGGTGGATGACTGGGCATGTAGTGAATGATTGGTCTGCTGTTCTCTGCATGCACCTGAGGCAAATGTACATACTGTCAGGACTATAATTTAGCACATAGAGTGAGCAGAGTTAGCGTGGTGAACTCGGAGGGCCACGAGATTGTGGATTCACACACTGATTACCGGATGAGGCTGTTAAAGTAAAACAACGACCTGAAATCACTTCACGCGTTGCCACCTGTCGAGATAGTTATCTGCTGCTTATCCATCCTGTGTTTATCTACTGGAACCATTTACATTAAGAAATGACAAGAAGGCTGAAGTCGATGCTGATAGTTGGCAGATTATTGATAGAGATGCATACAGTTTTTGTGATCATAACAAAGAGTTATTGACAGCTTTTCTGAAACCCCTGACCTTTGTTACATTAATAAGCTGTAAGGCTCACTGTGCAGAAGTGACAGGATCATTCTTTTATGTGTAAGGTGGCATTATGATTATGATTGAACTTGCTTTCCTAACTTCATAAAACTAAAGGCAACAAATAAATAGATCGACATAAATGTACTGAATTGTTATTATTAAAGTCATTAATGGAACACCAGCAACTTAAACAGGAATTAAAATTGTGCAAATATTTTAAATGCAGCAACAAATTGATTCAAACTTAATGTCAAAGATTCTCTTTATTTATATATATGTATATATATATATATTTATTCTATATACGGATGTTCCTTTTTATCTTCATTTATGTAAAGCACACTGAATTGTCTCCGTGTATGAAACATGCTATACAAATAAACATGCTTGTCATTTCCTCGTCTGGGTGATGCGCTCAAATGTCACTCAATGAGTTTCCATTCGTAAACTCGACAACAGGTGGAGCAACATGGACACACCATCCTCGTCTTACTGGAGACGGTAGTGACGATCGCGTGTCAAGTAATCCAGGAATTTTTCCGTGAAGCTCGTATCCAGGTTTGTATCGCTTTAGACCAACGACGTGATGGATGACGTCTGAAGCTGAAACACGTTGAGAAATTATTTGATCAATAATTGAATCATGATATATTATATTGGCAGGAGTGGCAATGTCAGTGTTCTAAAACTGTAAAGGATTAATGTACACGCATTTGATGCATTACTCACAAGATAAATAGCCTACTGGCAGAAAATACAGCGGCCTATACCACAGATCACAAGGTCGAGATCATGAAGGAGTGTTGCCTTGTACCGTAATATATCTGCCTGTTTTATACGCCACCAGGTGGATTTCTGAGCACATGAAGCCTTGAGAAATGAATACTTTTGCTTTCCAATTTGTTGTAAAGCTTTAATGCTTCATGAAGCTTCATCCTGCCAACACAACTCTCTCTCCGTTGCTGTTGTAGCTGACCAGGAACCTAGAACCTAGAACCTTAGAACCCTTTATGCGCCGCCTTTTTTATTGCCAATCCGCACGTTATGCTAACCTCAGCACCTGTTGCTAACACCGTACAGCTTAAAGTTTCCGAACTTTGGTTCCACATTACCTGTACCGGCTCCGACACACAGAAAGACCTCAATGCAGATGCATTATGGACTCCCTAACAGCCATAGAGGGTGCATGTAATATCAGGGGGAAAAATGTACATTCATCTACAACAGTGTGTGATTTGTGTACAATCAGATAGAAAGTGTGATGAAGATACCGGATTTTGAGCACAGGGTGCTCTGGAAAATTAATGATCGTCATGGGGGCAACGATCCAAAGTACTGGCTGTGATCAAAGGTCCAAGTCTGCCATGTGATATCAATATTTGGTTTACAAGTTAGCCAGGCACAGAGTGTGCGTGTGTGTTCGGTTTGAAAATATTTTGTGTTATTACTTTGTGTGAGCGTGTCTGAATCCTGTAAACTTGAAGGTAGACTTTAAAGTCTTATGTTTGCAGTTCTGACTTTTGGGCGTTGCCCAGAGGGAGGCAACTTAATGAAACACATCACTGACGTAGAATATGTTGCAGCAAAGGCGAGTTTGGACAATTTGAAAGAATCTGATGGGAGCGTGGTGAGTTACGCGAGGACACATTTTTGAGAAAAAGTACTCACCCTCCCTCACTCTCTGCTTCCTCTGAGCTCCGCCCACCAGCTCTGGGCCCAGCGATGGTGCCTGCAGCCCTTTTCCTCCGCGTCGGCGTGCTCCTGTGGAGAGGGCTGGCTCGGCGCACCTCGTCGCGTCCCCTCAGCTCCTCCCTGACTTGGTCCTGCAGCGTCGGCAGAGCACTCTTCAGCGACTTCATCTCCTCCTTTAGCTCGGACACGCACTGGATCAGGGCCTCGAGGCGCTCCAGCACCTCAGCCTGACACCCCCAGGGCAGACCTGGGCCATCCACCACCATGACGCCGGAGCCCGGTGCATTAGTGTGGTTGAGGTTGCACCGCGACCACGAGCCTCGTCGCCTCGACCTGAAGCCCTGGTAGAACACCACAGCCAAACCGATGCCAGCCGCTCCAGCCAACGCTCCCAGAACTAGCACCTTGCCGTCTGCCTGGGCCATCCTGCAGGCCTGCGGAGAACGGACAGAAATAACAAGGAAGGAAAATGTGGGACTCATATAATGAATTGGTTTAAAGATTACTTTGGCAATTGCCAGAAAATAGTGAAAAGTGCCCATCACAATTTCCACAAAATTAAATTAATTTCTTTTTTTCTTTTGACCAACAGTACAACACCCAAAAATATAGCAATTAACAGTAACAGAACAATGAAAAGCTGCAAGTCCTCACATTTGAGAAGTCATATTAAGTAAATATTTGGCATTTTTGCTGGGGAAATGACTTAAACAATTTATTTATTAAAATGTCGTGTGAGTGTAAATAAAGAGTCAACTGGTTTCAGATTTTTACATTTTTTTTAATTTAATATTAATACTTGACTCTGTATCAACTGATAATCAGTTCTATGAAGATACTATTTGATTTACAAGCTAGCCAGTCTGCATATGTATGTGTTCAGTTTGACATTTAGCCTTAGGTATTATGGTGCTGGTGTAATGTTTGATAAGTAGCCATAACTGTTGAATTATAATCAGATGAGAAATGACAACAGTAAAAAATGAACACTGAAACTATCTTAAAATGTAACTTGTAGTAAACTGACACCACCACCAACTGATACATTTGTAGTAATTAAAATGAGCAGATAGTGACCTTCCACTTTTAACCCAGTAACACAATGTACTCTCGGTGGCTGACAAAGTTACAGACTTCCCTGTTTTCAGACACTTGGGTTACAAACAGGTTATTACATGAAGAAGAGTCTGTCGACTCAGTGGGAAGCACAATGACACAGCAACGTGTGGCTTCTCCAAAAATGAAAACATTGTGTCTTTATCTAAGTTAGGACATCATTCTCTCTGTGTGTCCTCGAAATGTGCCTCCTGTCATTTACCCTGCCTCGAAGGAAAAACATAAAGTACTTGTAGTTTAACTTAAACTATGATCTTTTACTAAACCTCACCAACTAGTTTGGTTGAACCTTGGGAGATTCCTGGCAGAAAGCCCTGAAGGCTAACTTCATGCAAGCCCTATGGTGATGAAAGGCTAAAGTAAGTTCATAAACGAGAGATAAGAGACCAACTAACTATTTGAAAATCGACAACAGCAGCTAAAGCTAGCTTATATAATTGAATCAACATACTAATCACACAGCGAGGGTATTAGCCAGAAGTCAGATAGTGACAGCAGCTCTATAAAGCCAGACCACAGTTGTGAGGTTCGGACTGTCGGGGGTCTCAGGCATGCGTCATGCTTATTAACTTCACAATGTCATTATTACGCGTTAATATGTTAATTCGCTGTCATTGACGAAAGTCTTGCTGCTAGCTACAAGTCGCCAAACGTTGGGCTAACACTCGGAAAGAAAAGTTACTCGCGGAGGTTAAACGGTTTAAACGCATTATATGCTGAGTTTCAGCAATACAGTATCACAACAAGACGTTACGTTAACATGTTCTTTCTAAAATACCACAAAATTGACCATTTTAGAGCCCTTACTGCACAGGTATGAGTGGAGGCACCTCTGTTGGCTTGAAAGCGTACTGGTGTAACTGTCAAAACATTCCGTGTGTGCTCAGGCGCCACAATGAAGCGTTCCGGGCTTCGTGGGTATCCTCACAATGAAAATGATTTACGTTTTATTGTAAGTTTGGCGCAAATCAAGTTGACCTAAGTTGATCCTGTTATGTCCTCCAATCTTTTAAATGGCATGTAAATGTCACCTTCACGTCATCACTGCTTCCTCACAGGTGCATGCTCTCTGTGTGGAGTCTGCATGTTTCTACCAGGTGCCCCCTCCTTCAATCTAAACTGATTCATGTCACCTAAAAACGACTCAAAATTTCCATTAGTGTGGTCTGCCTGTGCGTGTTACTGTAGATCTTGGACCCGAGGACCACCCATCAAATTAATTGCGTTTTTAGGGGCTAAAAGTGATCATAAACTCACGAAACTTTGCAAAAGTGGGAAAAATGTAGATCTAATATTGGTCTGGTGTTCCGGGGGGGGGGGCAAAATGTCTCGATGGCGCCCACTACAAAGTTGCTCAAATTAAACCGCTCCTTTATGTTGTAGTGTTGGCAAAAAAGCGCATTTTGCCATTAAAGTTGTAACTTGAGCATACATTTTCCAATCTGCTAGAAATTTCTCACACTTGATAACATCTCCATGACCGAAATGACTCATATAGTGCCATCTACTGGCAAGAGGAAGGAAGTCAGCTTTATGTAAGGGATTTAGATGAAATTTACATTATGTGGTCTAAAGCATGTTTAGTGCGTGTTCTCTAACACTACATTGGACACAGGAGCATTTGCAATACATCATCTCCTGCACCTTGCATTGCGCATCCTGCTAGTTATCCCTGACGTGCAGGAATATAGGAGGGTTAGTTCATCCCTTCAATTACCTCTTGCTTTCCACCTACTGGGTTAAGGCTCCAGGACCCAGACGTCCTTGTTCTTGAAATTTGGAAGCTCCCATTATATTTCAAGGACCCCACTCTGTATATGTTTAGGAAGAGTTCATGGATTCTATTGCACAAGGAACTTATATTGTTTTTAATGCCACATTGCTTTCTTTTGTCTACTAATGGGGAATTGGGGACAATACTTCTTCCTCGTGAATATAGCGACTGCAATAGCTTTTGCAAATCTCCGGTAGGCTAAAGATTCTTCACTGTAATCTAACACATCTTGAAATATGAAAGCCAATTTTTGAGCTTGTGCTTCCTGTACGGGTTGAACCTTTTAGTCACTGATTCTGCATTCACAGTACAACTTTTACTTGTATATGTCCTACAGGACGTTTGCCCTCACATACTGTATGCTGCCCTATGTATACTGGCAGCATAAGTAGTCCTGTCCTTTATACGAACTTAAGAGAAATCCTGTCTTATTACCTCGATGAAACTACATCTTGTCTTTCTGGACCACAGTCTATCTCATCTCAGAAAACATCATTGGCTCTAAACTGAAATGATAAACAGGCTTGTTCCTCAGATCGTTAAAGCACCCTTTGTAATGAAATGTATGCACGATATAATAAGCTGCGATGAAGCATTTGATTACTGCGCACGTAAGGGTTTGTATTGCACTGGTTGTTAACAACTTGTTATGTTGCTATTTTGACATTTTACCATCAGAGATGTGGATCTTGTGGTACACTTTACCCTATTTTGATCTTTTGTGCCAGAATTTTATTCCTAGAGAAGAGTTCTCATCAACCATATCATCACAACACGTGAGGGAATAATCAGTGAGCAAAGTTGAATACCAGAGCTGCAACAGTGTAAGCAACGTGTTGCAAAATACTATTTGTACAAACGGGTGATAATGACTTAAAGGCACTCATTGATCATTATAAGTTAATTCATGAGTTTAATTTCAGATAGAATGTTTACAGTGTTGCACCTTTACTTCTGTCTTTACTTAATATCAATACATCATGATTTTACATATTTTAAAATACAAATTATTGCCATGCTGCTCTAAATCATTATTCTAGTTGAAAACAAAGACCTACCTTTACAATTCACTCGTCTCACCAGTGTGTCCCTGCAGGGAGCTTGGACGGAGTGTGCACCAGGATTTAAAAAAGTTACTAAGTAGACGTGTTATCACATCAACAGTGGACCTTTAGTCAGTGGACATGGAGCTGTCCCTTCCTGGGTTTCTATTCAAGTGTTACAAATGACATGTCTTTTGGAGGACAGTTAGAATGATAAACTAGTGTTTGACTTTACGTAAATACGTCACTTGTTTAATAGATATTTTGTATTTATTTTAACATTTTTGTCAGATGCTTGTGTTTTTCATTTTCTCATTTTATCTTGTTCGTCCGCTCAAGTTCATGATTAACGGTTTGGGAAACTTTCCCTCTGAAAACAACCGAGCGACAACGATGACCTCGCTGACCTTTAGAGTTAGTCCATTAAGTCACATGAATGGGACGATCAATGTTTAATCGACATGACGGAGGTATACGTGCGCTCTCTAAAAGGTTATTTCTCTTCGCCTGCAGAGAGGTAGACAGCCAGTCTTGCTTGGAAACAGAGGTGACAGGGAGTTCCCTTTCGTAATATGATGTCAGGATTGCTACGTGCAGTTTCTTCCCTGCTCTCTGAACACAGTATTGTTCCTCAGCCCACAGCCTGCATTCTGCCTGCACAGGGAACAAAAAGCCCAGCTGAAACCCGGAGGCATGGCGGTGCAAAAGAAAAAAACAACAAAAAAAACCAACATTGGTCCTGGGTTGGCCCTGCAGACGTAGATATGCCGATAAGGCAGGCGCATCCAGCCATGGCCTTGCTCCCATCGGGTCAAAGCCAGAAGATAAGCAGATATTGTCAACACTGTCGTTTTATCCACCCGCCACACATCTGCCCGAGCTCTCACACGGGGTGGGGGAGAAATCAAAGCAGCCTCAGATTTGCCTTTGTCCGCAATAAACAAGCCCATTGCAGTTGTCAAACAAAACGTGGGAGAAGAATCAGGGTGAAATAAGGCATCACTATCAGGACCCTACTGCCAGACCACAGAGTGTGAAGTCCAATTGTCCCCTGTCAATTTTCTACTCATATGCATGAGACATCTACCTGTCTGCGACAGCTGCGTGACGCATTCACAGATAGTTTAAAGGCTCATTCAGACGTGAATATGTGTTGTGTAACAGGAGGCACAATAGCACTCCACTGTGGCGCTGATGAGGAATCGGGGAAGTCCAACTCATAGGCCTGCACTTGCTTTCCTGATGTGTATCTCAGCTGCGAGCACTTGGTGCTCTTATCCTTAGGCCTAGCAAGAGACTCACAGCGGGCTACTGTAGTCAGGGCGTTTCGCCAAGGAAACGGAAACTGTTACAAAAAGCAACATAAAATGGTGAAAAGCTCTTGACATTAACAGCTATTCTCTCAACCGGTGAGGCTGAGGCATTTCAGCTTTGTCTTTAAGCAACTTCCATCACAACTCTGATCCGTGCATTCACCTCAGAAACAGGACATTGCAGCTGATTTTCTGTCACTGCATTGGTGATGGACTGCTTTGTCCCTTCAACTAATAACTGAGGATGGTTCGGTTTGAGGCACAGGTCCGGCCAAGGAGACGGATGCTAATTCTCCTGAGGGTAAACCAGGGGGGAGAAAGTTAAATGTATCCGAAATTCAGGAAATGCTGCTTTTAAAACACAAATTCTTCTGGAAACTTGTTTTTCTGAAAGTCTGGATCTGTTGCTGGAATGACAACCAATACTACTCCTGATCCCAAGCTAGTGTTTCGGGCTTCGACTCTCAACCTTGGCGCTCAACAGGTGACTAAACTGAAACGTATCAGTGTGCCGTGTTCCAGGCAGAAGAGCAGTTCTCATCACAGTTTGTTCGTTCACATGTGACCAGAGCTCACTTGACGTGTGTTAGACCTCTGATTAAAACCAGTACAGTATATATATCCATATCCATATACAAATACATATACATATATACTGTATACATATACATACACATATACAGTATATATATATATATATATATATATATATATATATATATATACACATATATATATACATATAATATAATCCCTTTTTTAAATCATTGTTAATTCAAGTTGTATCGAGACAAGTCGAGATCCCGCCGCTTGCTGTCGCTTTTCTTCTTCAAAACACAGAGAAAGAGGTTGAGCAAGAACTGGAATCGTGAGAGAATACAGCTGATTCGCATGTAGACAATGTGCTTTCTCTCTGTCTGTAAAACACAAGGAACCGCATCCACCTCACCTCCCTTATTAAAATCCTGTTTCCGCTGTCTGACAGTCACTGCACCCTGGTGTGGCACACAAAAACAGCGACGCTGAATATCCTGAAACAAGAATGGTGACAACGATGCTGAAGTTTGCAGCTCAGACTTTATTCAAAGTCGGACTTATAACAATAGTCCAATGATTTTCTTTGTTGTTGGTGAAAACATTGATAAAATGCATGCAGTATCAGCACCATAAATCGCTAAGTGTCCTTACGTCACTCACAGTAGCAGTCACTCACAGTAGCAGTCACTCACAGTAGCAGTCACTCACAGTAGTCACTCACCCATGTGTCCAACTCATTATGTTTGTCTGGTTGTTGTTTTATTGATGTTACCTTTGACAGCACTCACAGATCTCAAAACCTGCAATGTACAGATTATATTGATGAGATTTCCTGACATTGACTTTTGACATTACAGCAATTATATAAAATGATAAAATGACAATTACAATTTCCAAAATAAATAATCAGCATTAACTTTACAACTTATGCCATGTTTGTGAAGTTTTTACATACGATTTGATCACACTATAAGAAATAAAAGCTAAAGAATGGTGCAACAGTTTGCAGTGTATGGACCTTAGCCTTAACGTTGAACATTTAGGCTTATAGAGCGCATGCTATTAGTATTTGATGGACATTTGAGTTTCTTAGGTTTTGTGTCAACTGCATCCTAAAATATCTATCTTGCGGTT